CAGGCAGTGGGCATCCCCTGCATTTCCTACAGATGAAAGCTTCAGGAGAACCCTGGAGGGGGGCCTCTGGGGCTGCAGGGAAGGGAGCATGTGAGCCTGGAGTTGCTGCAGCCATCTTGTCACCAGGAGGAGAGAGAAGGCAAAGCGGAAGAAAGCAGAAGTGGCACAGAGGAAGTGAAAGTGAGGAAGAGAGACTGGGCGACAAGGTTTGAGTCTTTGGATCCAACTTGGCTTCAAGCTAGTCTATTCTCGGGCATTTCCGAGAATAAAGTCCCCCCGTGTCAGATTAACCTGGCCTTCGGTCACTTGACACCAAAAGGGTCTGTGTGCCCTAAACTCGGGCTCCCCAGAGGTTCACTCTGACCCTGTTACTGGAGGTGGGGATGGCACAGATGTGGCGTGACAGGCGTCTCTTGGTCAGTACCTGGAACCTTCCTCTCAGTGGGCACAGCTGGGGTGGGGGCTGCCTCCTGTCTGCACCCTGTCCTGGGTCCCCGGGGATGGAGGAGATTCCTGCCTCAGGGTTGCATTTCTGCTTTCCATCTACCTAAAGCTCTTCCCCTCCCCTGGCTGCCGTGGCCACCTGCTTAGCCTCCCCTGTGGCTCCCTTAAACACATCCTCCTCTGAGAGGCCCTCCCTGACCATCTGGGTGAGGGGGACCATTCTGTCCCAGCTTCTCTCTGCTCTGTGAGTGGCTCCCTTCTAACATGTTACCTCAATAAGGGCAGGGACTGGGCCTGTCCTGTTCACTGCTATGTCCCAGCTCTTCGCAGGGTCTGGCACATGGGAGGAGTGTCACCCATCGTTGCTTACTGAGAAAATGAGAACACACATAGGTGGGTGGGTGAGGCTGGGGAGAGGCCCTATTCTGCTGCTGACTGGGAGGGTGGGGCTCTGTGCAGGGCCTGGGGGTGGGAGGGCTTTTTCTTGCTCTTAACAGGGGGCACAGTGACACTCACTAGAGGACATGCTGCAGGTTTAGGTTTTGGTGACCCCAGAACTCTCCCTCTGTTTGGGGGTCTTACCTGATATCAGGTAAGATATCTGCTTTGTGTCACAGCCACAGAACAGAGGAGCTGCAGCCTGGGTGGAAAACCAAGGATGTCAGGGGCTGGGGAACAAGCAGAGCTGAACACACGGATTAGGGACTGGGGGACCCAGCCCAGGGAAAGGAGGGACCTCTGATGGTCAGATATAATGCACAGAGGACATTGGGTGTTCCAGCCAATGTCAGAAACTTCCCTGCAGTATTTTCCAGCCCTGAGAAGATCAGCGAGAAGTCTCAGCTTGGTGAAACCAGGTCTTGCTTCTGTAACAGGCCCCCTGGCAGCCTCAGGCTGGGTTTGTCTCAGACAAAGGCCTGCGAGGCATAGTCACAGCCATAGGCTTCAATGTGTTTATTTTTATAGCCACCTTCTAATTACAGCAAGTGATTCTGAGTTTCTGTTTGGGGCAGTAATAAGAAGTTCCCCCAAGTAAAAGGAAATGGCCAGTGGCTGATGGAACAGGTGGTGGTGTCATTGGCTGGGAGGGAGGGAAAGAGGGTCTTGGAAGACGGCTCTTTGTAGTTGTTGCAGGAGGGCCAGGAAAGGTCTGGAGGAGCCCAGGGAGCCAGCTGGGGACACCTAGGTGGTGGTGGGGAGAAGATGGGGTGGAGGAACCCTTCTGCAGACTGCCCTGGCCATGGGGATGCTGCACATCAAGGCACTTCGAAGTCACTTTAACACAGAGGGTCTCCAGCCTTAACCTGCACAGAAAGGAATCACTTTTGAAGGAGGGGAATGAGCTTGTTAACATGCAGGTTCTGATTCAGTAGGTCTGGGTGAGGCCTGAAATTCAGCATTTCTAACAAGCTCCAGGAGAGGCTGATGCTTCTGGTCCCCAGGCCAGGGGTTGTAATGGTGGGCCATGAGGAAGGCTTCCTGGAGGAGGGGGCTTGAGGAGTTGAAGAACTTGTTCCAGAATCCAAGAAGTGAGAAGGTCCCTGACTTCTGCAGCAAAGAGGAGATGCCAGGAGGAGACAGCCATGGGTCATCCCAGACCTCAGACACCCGTAACGGATGAAGACTGTTTGTGGCCAGAAGCACTGGTGACCAACAGGCCACAGCTCTCAAAGACCTGGGTGGGCAGCACTGAGTGTCATCAGGAAGAGACCAGGGGGAGCCCTGCAGCCACCCGTTGTGGGCAGTCCCTTTTTAGGAAACCAGAATAAGTCCATTCCCTGTGCACAAAGTGGGGAGCCAGCCCGTGTTAGGGGTCCTAATGGGGAGTGCCCTGATATGATTTTTTAGCTCCCTTCTACCCTATTAGTTTAAAAAAACCTCTCTCTACCACACACATGCACCGTATATGTGTCATTTTGAGGTGCACACTACCCCCACACTTGACACTCCTGCACCCAGCAAGTGATTCCATGTGGGCCCTGACATCAGGGGCTAGCTCTTTGCTTGCCCAGCTTGCTGCCTTAATCTAACTCCTCCCACCCCCTGTCGAGCATGTTTTTTTTCTTAGTGAATATTAGGTGCATCTCATAGTCAACAGCATTTTCTATTTAATGAAATAACTTGTAGAATCTGTGTGATTCACCGAGACAAGAAATCCAGTATTTCCCACCCAAAGCGTCCTTCCCCTGGAGCTAATGGAGCCACTTGAAGGCTTTCTTTGTCCCAAGGTGTAAGCCTGTTTTTAACCTTCGGGACAGAGCCAGGTGTGGCCACATGGCATCGCTGTTGAACACCTCCCGGTACAGCTTAGTGAGTGCTTGTCCAGGGTCTGGCGATCCCTTTGCTGAACCGGCTTCCTGCACAGGCCAATGTGGCGCCCCACATTAAGGTTCCCAAGTCACAGCCTCTGTAGTTCCCCCTGCTAAGCTCAGCCAGATGGTTTAGGTCCTCAGGGACTTACAGCCTCAAACACATATTGGGCCCAAACCCAGCCTGTACCATCCATTTCGGGACTGGTGTTAAACCCAGGTCATCCAGACTCCTTTCACTTTGGGGCCCTCGGTGTCCTTTCCTGACTGCAGACTTCAGTCGGGATCACTCCAACCCATCAGAGAGCTTCCAAGAACATTGTGCCTCAAAATGGGGAGGCCCCCTGAGTGTCTTCTCCCACCTCCCTTCAGGGCCTTGTCTCCATAGCCGAGGGAGGCCATTCAAGAGACAGTTGCCTTATAAATGGAAATCCACCCCTGGGCAATGAGTTATAGCTTTCTAACCAGAGGGAGGTTGGCAACTGCTTTTGTTAAATATACCTTGAATCACAGACTCTTAGGACGTGGTTGCTTCTACCCTTCCGAGGATGACAGACGCCCCACCCACCCGGGGCCCAAGCTGGCCTTGAGGAGCAGGAGGTGAGCTTTTGTTTTGTGAGTTGGGCCTACATGCTAAGAGGGAAGAACCAGAATACTTAGGATAATGGGTGGGAATATTTGCTATTTACTTAGGTAGCAACTTTGAGGGGGAAGGAGCAGACAGAAAATACCCAAGAACAGCTTCAGAGACGACCTGGATAAGCTGTGCCTGTGGTGTGCAGTGGAAACCTCTGCTCCAGCCACCTACAGAACACCAGGGAGATGGATCTTCCTCTCCAGTGTTCTGGCAGCTGGGTTCGCGATTTTGAGATGAAGTGAACCTGGCATCTAAGGGACACAGGACACAAGCAGAGGCTTCCAAGGACACCCAGGGATGGGGAGGGGGGCTCAGTTCCACACATCCAGGGAAGTGGAGGACCAGAGGAGGGCTCGTTCAAGGTCACCCAGCAGGTTAGAGCCACAAGGGACCCCACATGGCTATTCCCATCCAAAATGCACCCCGAACAGCTCACAGAGCAACGGTGATCCCAGATCTGCCAGAGTGGCTCATCACAGATACTCCCGGACAGCCAGTTCCTTCAGGGTGACGCTCCAGGAGGTGTGCCTCCGCAGCTGGATGTCCTCCAGTCTCTCCTGCAGTGACACAAAGTCCTTGCCCAGTGCGTAGGCCAGGTGGATCATAGCGTCCAGCAGCGGCGCGTAGTAACGGTGGCCCTCCCGGGCGTGCAGGAGCTCCAGGGCCCTCTGGCCAGCCGCAAAGGCCTCGAGGGGGCGCTCGAGCTCCCGGTGGCACACCAGCTGGGCGCAGAGGGCCGGGACCACCAGCGCGGGGCAGTGGCCCGCCAGCTTCTCCTGCAGGGGCACCGCGTGCACCAGGATGTCCAGCGCCTTGGTGTACTGGCCGGCGCGCAGGCAGCCGAAGGCCTCCCGCAGCTCGGGCCGCGTGAGGAAGTCGATGAACTCGCGGGACCTGCGCACGCAGCGGATGCCGTAGAGCTGGCTCAGGTACTCCTTGAAGGCCAGCTTGCGCTCCGAGATCATCTCCTGCGTGAAGTTGCCCACCAGGTGCTTCTTGGGGAAGGCGATGTCTTCGATCTCCTCGCTGAACGTCTTTAGGAGGGTTTTCTGGAGCTGCTGGAAGTCTGAATAGCGCCGTTCCAGGATGGCCTTGGTGTTGTCGAAACTGCCCGTCTGGATGACGACGATTTGGTACATCTGTGGGGCAGAGAGAGCGACAGGCTTTGAGCACATCCTGACGGAGGTTTGAACCGACAGAGCGAGCCCGGCAAATAAAAATAATGATGATCGTGACTTAAAGCATACCCTGAAAGCGGGTGGTGGTTCTGTGGGATCCTGTTTTAAATTGCCATCGGGATCAAGACGAGAGTCAACCCAAGAATAAGCCCAGCGACAAGGAGGCATCTCTGGGGAGGAGAGCACAGGAGCCCGCAGGCAGGGGGTCTGGTGGTCTAAACGGGGCTTGGGGGCCTGCAGGGGAAGCTGGGTTAGGCCTGTGCTCGCCAGCTGCTCCACCCCTGGGAGATGGTTTTTAGGTGCTGTGCTGGCAGCGATGTTACCCAGCAAGACAATTATTCCTTTTCAGTTCTCTTTCGGGAGGACACTGATGAAGGGTACAGACTGCCTGGTTTATAACTCCAGCCCCACCACGGTCTGGCTGTGTGGTCTTAGGTAGGTGATTTAACCTCTCTGAGCCTCACCAGGTAAGGATTAAATGAGTTTATGCACTGAAGCCGGTCAGCGGTCAGCACATTGTGCACGCAGTGTCCTCCAAGGAAGGTGCAGTGGCTCTTCCGTGGTCATTAATGTCTCCCCAACACAGGCTGAAATTCCACTGTGGCAAAGAGCAGGCCCAGCACAGAGCTTCCCACTGATGGAGCTCTGCCCTCAGGAACCAGCCAGAATTTAATAAGAGCGTTCAGTGTTCCTTGTGTTTACTTTTATGATCGACTTTTCTTTATGACAGGATACTGGTTTTCCATTTAAGGTATTTTTCGTAGAAATAAATATACTTAGTGTGTTTTTTAGTGAACCAATTTAAAGGAAAAATTAAGTAAATAATAATAAAAATGATACAGGGATGTGGTAAAAATGGCGCAGAGACACGGATGACCAACACTGGATAAGATGGGATTAGTGGCTGGTTCCTCCTTGGGAAGGCGCCGTGACTCACAGCTCCGGTGCTCACGGCACCTAGCACAGCGCCGAGCATGAAATCCTGCTTTTTTAACGTTTTCCCCAGAAGAGCTCTGCAAGTTCAAGTGTGTGAACCCACCCCACAGCTGGGAAAGCTGAGGCCCGCAGACCTTGCCCAGGGCAGGGAAGGAGCGGTGCTTACCACGAACTTGGACACCTTCCTCTCCTCGATGCGGGCCGAGGCGATCTCGAAGAGCAGCTTGACCGGCTTGCGGCAGCCCTTCTCGTTCCTCCAGTATTCCTGCAGCTCCCTTGTGGTCATGCTGGAGTTGGGGCTTGGGCTGCCTTCTGCGTCTGCAAGCACAGCACCCCTGAGGACTTGGACTAGTCAGTGCACTTGGGGCCAGGGCCCGGGAAATGGCTGGGTCTGCCCGGGGTAGGACATTGGATTCCCAGAAGAGCTGTGACTCCCTCCTCCCTCAGCCCACCAAGAACAGGTCCGGCTGGGCATCAGCCCACCCGGCTGAATGCATCCTGCCTGTCCTCCCCCAGCGGTTTTGGTTGGATGCAGCGTGGGTCGCAGGGTCCACTTTGGGCCTGCACGTTGGCCACTGCGGAACCCCGTTGTGCCCACGAGCAGGGACTGTGGCTTGCCCATCCCTGCACTCCCCACACCGCTGGCTCCATGGGTGTCGCGGGCCTCCCGAGCACAGGTCAGTGGGTGGCACAGGGGGCTAGGAGGGTGTTGGGCTCCGGGCTCAGCCTGGCTGGCCCCTGCCAACCCCCTCCCTTCATTGCCCACACTCCATGCTTTTTCTTGCACACACCACCCCTTCTGCCCTCAACACCAACCTCCGCTTTCCTGCCTTGAAAACACACACGTGTTCCTTAAACTTTGCTTGAGCCCCGGGCCACTCTGAGAATCCTGCAGCGATGAGAATCCTTCCCGCCAACGTGCACAAATCATGGTGCATCTTCTCTCACGGGATATGGGTCCCGGGAGCCCTTCTCCAGCATGTTCTTCGGGACCCAGCCTCATGTCGTTTCATGGCATTAGAGTGAGAGCCGCCCACCTTGCCCTACAGCTTTTTCCGTGGCATCTCAAATTATCTCTCATTCCGGACTACACTGGAGGGCCAGCACGGCGTTGGATTTGTTCCAGGGTCTCCCCCCCCCATAGGCCCGTCTCAAACCAGTGCATAAATGGGCTAGTGACTGAGCAGAGACTTACTCCAGGAGACAGTGCCACCGCAGACGCCTCGGCACTCTCTGCTCTGGACGGTCCCACTGGCTTCCTGGGACTCCTGCCCCGCGGGCTTTCTCAGGCCCCAGCAGCTTGTTGTGGGGAATCCCTCAGTGATGAAGGACGGGACTGGTAGGTCATAGCCCGGCCTCCCCATTCCTCAGATGGAATTGCAGTGAGGGATGCTCCATACAGGCTCCGAGAGGGCCCCCACTGGAACTGAGCCCGGTTGCCCAATAACCTGTACAGTGACCCCCATGTCGCTTCCTGCCCTTCCTTCCTTTCCTATGTGGCTTTCCCACTACCCTGCTCTTCCTCCTGGGACACCTGGCAGACAAACCACATGCATGAAATCCCTGCCTCAGTATCTACTCTGGGGTGAGCCAAGCTAAGAGAGCTGTGCCACTCGCTGTCTGTGACATTTGCTGAAGTACCCACATGTGTATTTCAAATGTCTTCAAACCTTTGTTCCCCTGACCAAGCCCTGTGCCCACCTGAGTCCCCTTCAGATCCTGGAGGTGGCAGGTTTNTCAAATGTCTTCAAACCTTTGTTCCCCTGACCAAGCCCTGTGCCCACCTGAGTCCCCTCAGCCCACCTGAGTCCCCTTCAGATCCTGGAGGTGGCAGGTTCGGGCCAGTGGCTGATGCTTCCTGCTTGACCTCTGCTGTGCTCTGGGCTATGGGTCCTGTCCATCCTGGGCTCCAAGGGTGCTTTGCACTTGCCATGTTCCAAGGCTGCCAGGGGGACAAGAGAGAACAGTGAGTGCCCACTCATGGTGGGCTCCTGGTGGGTCCTGGGGTGCCTAGGACCTGTCTCATAGTCCCCACTGTGAGCCCTCCACTGCCCAACCAGCTGTCTACCCAACTGCTGGATGCTAAACCAGGGGCTGGCCCCGCCGGGCGTGGCTCAGCGGTTGAGCGTCGACCTGGGATCCAGGCGATCGGAGTTCCATCCCCGGTCAAGGCACATGCCCTTNCGTCGACCTGGGATCCAGGCGATCGGAGTTCCATCCCCGGTCAGGGCACATGCCCTTGTTGTGGGCTCCATCAATGACTCTCTCATCATTGATGTTTCTATCTCTGTCTCTCCCTCTACTTTCCTTTCTCTGAAATCAATAAAGATATATTTTTAAAAAATAAAAAAATAAACCAAGGTCTGGTCCTTTGCTGGACTGATGGGTCCAAGGCCAAGCAGGTCCTTTCTTCTTGTTAGGACCCTTATATTAAGGAGTTGCTCTGAATTTTAAATGAGGTGACTTCAAGCAAAGGTAATGGCTTTAGTGATGAATTGGAAGGAAAATGCTGGCATGTCCAGAAAAATGTCCTAATACTCCATTTGATCTGACATTTGTAAATGAACCTCAGTGTCCAGAGCAGGGACACTGGTATCTGCCTTCCCATCTCTCTCTTTGTCGTTAAGCGGATATTTTCTTAAAAGAAAAAAAAATTGTTTTTATTGATTTTTTTTAAAGAAAGAGGAAATGAGAAGGAGAGAGAGAGACACTGATGTGAGAGAGAAACATCAATCGGTTGCCTCCTGCACGCTCCCTACTGGGGATCGAGCCAGCAACCTGGGCATGTGCCCTGATGGGGCATCAAACCAGTGACACTTTGGTGCACAGGACGATTCTCAACCAACCGAGCCACACCGGCCAGGGCTACTGACAACATCTTATACCCACTTCATAGTCACCCAGGTTCTTCACATCCACTCTTATTTAATAACTCCCAAATCTATCATGACTCCCAAGAACAGATGAAGTTTAGCCCAAGGTCACACAGCTGGTGAGTGTGCCCAACGAGCAAACCCAAATGCTAGTGACATGCCAGGCTGTGCCCTCTGCCCGCAATCCCCGCTCCCTCACGCAATCTGAATCCGTGTGTGGTAGGAGTTTTTGAATCTCCATTTTATGATAAAGGAACCAAGACTTTGAGTTGTCCACAGTAAAGAGCTAGTAGGTGGTGGGCAGGACACAGACGCAGGCTGGGCCGCCCTCAGAATCCTCTCCGCCCTCAGGGCAGGCCCGCAGCGGGAGCCCTGGGGCGCAGCTCCTGCAGTAACTGTCTGATCCAGGCGAGTGACTGAGATGACGGGGTGCCCGGCCAGTTCTTCACCTTCTCTGTGCCCCAGCGTCCTTTATACCGACAGAACCCCCTTCCTGAGGCTGGTGTCTGTGGACAGCGCCTGCTCGGGGCCCCCACACCAGGCACTGTGTAAGAGTCCCTCTCATTATCTGACCTGATAGATGCTTTGAAAAATAAATGACTCTAAATCAAGGTAGAAGTTGGAATAGCATTTAAAACATCTGAGATAAATTAGAAAAGACACAATGAAAACATTAGCAGAAATTCAAAATAAGAAGGGCGCAGGGGACCTTACTCCTTTGTAACAGGATCTGAGGGGTCTGCAGGTGAACCACAGGGGTGGAGCTGGGACTTGAACTCTGATTCAAGTTGCAATCCAGGCCTGGGTGTGAACCCCTGTGTTGCCTCTGGCCTGAGCAGAGGTAGGGGCCATGCTGTCAGAACAGTCCCAGGGGCATCAGAAGCTCCTGGAGGGTGGGGGTGCTGGGGGTTTGTAAAAAACAGATTCCTGGCTGCCAACACCAGAGGGTCCACTCTAGCAGGTCTGGGGGTGGGCCCTGGACTCTGCATTTTGCACAAGTAGCCCAGGACTGTGCTGATGCAGGGGTTCCTTGGCACTGCTTTTTGAGAAACACGGGGGTGGTGAATTATTCCCCAGGTTCAAGAGGCGCTGTAGAAGCGTCTGGCACTTCAAATAGAGACGGAAGAGGGTTGAGGAGGGGCTCCCTGCTCTGTCCCAAGCGCTAAGGAGAGCCCCACATACTGAGGCTGTCACCAATCCTTCTCTGGCCCACCCTTCCCCCAACACGTACTGAGGGTGGGTCACAGACAGCAGGGCTCAGACCCTAGGCGGGCAGAGAGGCCCACTAAGCTTGGAATCAAACACTGACCTCTGATTGAGGCTTCTGGCCCTTCGGTGTCCAGGGGTCCCAGAAGAGTGTCACATGGTCCCCTTTAGCTCTCTTTCCAGCTCCGGCTGTTGCTCTGCTCAGTTCCCCGTTTGAAAACAGGAAATAGGCTGTGTGACCTGCTCTGCGCCGCCCAGCCCATTGGCTGGTGAAAGATAGTATAGTGAACCCGACAGCCAGCCAGCCTGAGGCTGGGGCAGCCAGGCGGGCGGGGCAGAAGCCTCTGAGGGTTCGAGTGGGGCCTCACTTCCCACAGCCTCGCAGTGGCCTGGCTGTCCCTCTGAGTCCTGGACAATCTCTGGCCTTTGGACCTTAGCTCCCAGAGCTCTTTGGTGTTCATTATCCTATACTATGAGCTGGACATTAACCGGTGGGGAAACTGAGGCTAGGAGCACAGAGCTGGGAGGACCAGAGCCAGTGTGGGATGTAGGAAGAGGTGGGATAGACTCTCGGTCCCATGTGGTCTGTTTTTCTGAGCAAAGCTGCATCCCACTCTCTGGACAGAAAGACCCAGGGAAGCCAGACCTCTGGGAAGTGACATGGTTCATGGCCACCAGCACTGTGGCCTGAAGGGCAGGAGTTGGGGACGAGACACAGAACAGAACCCCGGAAGTCCACTCTGCCTTCTCCAGCTCTGACCCCGTCCCTCCCCACTCAAGGCAGTCACCGTCCTGATTCTCAGGGGGTCACTTCCTTGCTTTTCTTAGTCAGTCAACCACCTGCAGACAGACGCCAAAACTGTGGTTTCATTTTACTCATTTTCTGAACTTTCTATAAGTTGAACCATACGTGCTTTTGGTATGCTTTCGTGTCTTCTTTCTTTCACCCAACATGTCTGCGAGTAAAACTCATCAATTTTAGTGTGTAGCTGGAGGTGGTTCCATTTTTATTGGTGTATGGCTCCATTATTAAATACATCATTATTTAGCCCTTGTTTGTTTGTTTGGTCTGCTGATTTGGGCAGTTTCATCATGATCCAAGCCGCTGGGGATGTTCTTCCCATGTGCGCAGGGTCCGTGTTGTCCGAGGTGAAGGGACTGGGCGGCAGGGTGGGAGCGGCCGAGAGCGCCTGCATCAGCTTGCACCCCGCCAGCCGTGCGTGGAGTCCCGGCCCCCCCTTGCTGACACTTGCCGTGGTCCGTATCTTCTACTTCAGCCGCCTTCACGGGTGGGCAGCGGCATCTCGCCGTGGGTTGCCGTTGCATTCCCTCCCGCCTAGTGATGCCGAGCCTCTTTTCCTGGGCTCATCGCCACCGCTCTGCTCTCTCTGGCGAGGCGTCTGCCTACGTCCGTGGCTCATCCTTCGATCAGATTATTTTCTTTCTGGTTTGTAGCTGTTCTTTACGTTTTCACAGGGTATCTGGCTTCTCCGGCTCTTCTCCATCCTGGGTTTGCATTTGTAATCTCTCAATGGGGGACTTTGATGAGTCAAGTTGCCAGGTTCAAAGTATTCAACCATGTCAGTCTTTTCTCTCACCACCGTGTCATACCTTGAGGTCCTGGTGATTTCACATTATTTCTGCAACAGCCTCACGCAGGCGGTGCGGGGGGTGGGGG